CACAGCCTGCGCTTCCTCCCTCCGCGCCGCTCGGTGCTCACCGGCTGAGCGATCACATGAGCCCCTTGTTCGGAGCCTTTGTCTCTCATCTCCTACGCTGAGGAGCTGCGTTTCAGGAAGCCTCTGCAACCTCAGGCCATAGACCACGCAGAGATGCTCAAATAGGATTATTTGTCCCATTTATCCTCCCGGGGTGGGTTTGTAAAAGTCTTCTGTGCTTGGTGATACATATAAAACCCCTGGTTTGTTTGAGGGAGATGAGCTGTATTAATTATTAACTGAATCAGCACTGGCGGCTGCTCTGGGTGACCAGTAGCTGCAAGCCCTCCTGTTCACCCTGTTGCCATCAGCCCCACAAACGGATTTTTCCTGGGTCCCCGTTCACCGCAGGGGCTGGAGCGAGGGAGTTTGGTGCCAGCAGGTTTTCAGGGAGACTGAACCTGTGGCAGGAAAACCCTTCAAAAAGCGACGCTGAATTTGCGGTGGCTCCGGGATTCGGGTTTCCAGGGCAGGGTTTGCACTGGCACTTGCGGGAGTCACATCTCTGGTGGCCACGTGGGGATGGGGACGGTGGCAGGTCAGCGGCCCCTGGGTCGGAGCATCGTGCTCAGGGTTGCAGAACGGAGAGTCCTGGAGAATAAAAGTGTTGGACACCATCCCGCGGGAGGTGACAAATGACAGCAAAATGATACAGGTGCCACCGGCTCCCCAAAAACCAGGGCCTGGGCCGAGCATACGGTGATGCTACTGTGATGCCCTCATGTCCACTGCCGAAAGAGCACCCACGTTGAACAGCTTTGCTCCAGCGGGACGTTGGCGGGGCTGCAAGCTGGGCACAGGCATGCGCAGGCATGCTGGCTGCCAACGAGGTGTGCCCGCATCTGTCTGCCTGCCCTCACCGGACCTGCCTGTTAGTATCCGCTCAAGAGGCATTTTCCCAGCTTCTCTGGAGAAAAATCGGCTTAAAACACACCTCTGGGGTACCGCCTGCAACTGGGAAATGAAAAGCGGCATCAGCCAGCGCATCCAAGAGGGAGAGGAGGGAGGTTTCAGCATAAGTTGTAACATCCGAAGGTGTCGCTGGGTTTGACCCTGGAGCACCGGGAGCTCTCTGCCCCGGGAGCCAACAGCCCTGCTGCAATGCTGCCGAGGAAGAATTTCCCGGTTTCTTGAAAAATGGACTTGAAAAAAAATTGCCTGTGCTCCTGCTGAGCTCTTGGTGCAGCAGGCGCAGGTGTCCTGCTCCTTTATGGCCTCATCTGGAGGCCATCGGAGACCATCGGTCCCCAGGGGACCGTCGGCAGGCCCTGGGGATGGGTGGTGGCATCAGGGATTGATCCGGAGTCGGCATCTCCAGCGGGGAAGCGGGGACCTGAGGGCAGTTAGCTACAGTCTCGAGGACTTGCGCTACCAGCAAATGCTCCAGCAGCACCGAAGCTCCGCAGC